TACTTGAGTAAATGTGTAAATCTGAATTTACTCATTTTTTTCAGTAATTAATTACTTTTTATTTCATATATTAAGGTTTTAGTTATGATACTCTGCTGGATACTCCCAAAATGATTCCGCAGAAATCCGCAGATTTTTACCAAAATTCAGAAATAGCAAAAAACGTCCGCAGATTCCGTCTGGCCCTGGTAATTAGACAAGTTATTGTATAACGATGGTTTGTTCTGTAGACTAGCGAAAAAAATAGCTTAAAGGGGCTAATAATTTTGACCTTAAAATGTTTTTTAAAAGTTTAAATCTGCTTTTATTCTAGCTGAAATAAAACAAATAAGACTTTCTCCAGAAGAAAAAACTGATTTATTTATATATATATATTAATAATATATATGTTCACTGTATATATACAGGTGAAGTCAGGATTATTAGCCCCCCTTTGAATTTTTTTTCTTTTTTTAATATTTCCCAAATGAGGTTTAACAGAGCAAAGCAATGTTCACAGTATGTCTGATAATATTTTTTCTTTTAGAGAAAGTCTTAATTGTTTTATTCAGGCTAGAATAAAAGCAGTTTTTATTTTTTTAAAATTAATTTTAAGGTAAATTTTTTTTTGATAGTCTACAGAACAAACCATCATTATACAATAACTTGCCTAATTACACTAACCTGCCTAGTTAACCTAATTAACCTAGTTAAGCCTTTAAATGTCACTTTAAGCTGGATAGAAGTGTCTTGAACAATATTTAGTCGAATAATATTTACTGTCATCATGGCAAAGATAAAATAAATCAGTTATTAGAAATCAGTTATTAAAACTATTATGTTTAGAAATGTGTTGAAGAAATCTTTTCTATGGTAAAGAGAAATATATATATATATATCAGGGCCGCTGCTGGCCAAAAGGGTGACCCTATGCAAAATTTTACTGTGGTGCCCCCACAGAGGAATAAAATCACACAAAGATTTAAACGTAATTATTTATTTATGTACATAAATATGCATATAAAGACTCAAGTTATACTTAAACATTCACATATTTGCATTACAAAATAATAGTTTAGATCAAAATAAATACTGACATGTCTTCTGCAGAAGCATTCCCAATTTCAAACATTTACAAAAGATAAGGGATAAACCCTGTCTGTACCTGTAGAGATGGACGGTCCTCAGTGCTGCATCCTGTACTTTTACCTGTGCAGCTGCTGGTGTCTTTGGAGCAGTGCTGGTCAGGCCACCTCATCTTCTTTTGTGGCAAACTTCAGCAGGATTGACCTCCATGTACAATACAGAAGAAATTAGTCATTTAAAGAAAAACTCATGACATACCATTAAAACAACGGGCTAGTCAAGCACTCTTCATAATGTTTACAAACTACAACCAAAATATTTCATTTACACTGTAATCTATGCTGACAATAGCTGACCCTTGCTTTCGGTATAAATCAAAGACATTTGTGTTTTTCAAGAATTAACTGCTGTAATTTTAAACCTTTAAAACTTTATAACATTCAGAAAAAATAATCATTAATGAATTCATGCAATAAAAATGGTTTCTGGCCAGTGATTTACCGTAATTTTACTCATTTTATATTATTGATCTTTCAGAAATCACAGAATATTACTCAGTTTTGTTATTTCAAACTGTAATGTACAAAAAAGACTAAAGAGACTTTATTGTCATTGCAATGATACAAGCAATAACAACAGCAACAATAAGAAATGTAAAGAAATAGATAAAACACTAAACAATAATAATTGCAGTCTGCAAAGAATGAAATAATATATAACATATATACAATATACAATATATATAATATATACATAATAACTATAATAATAAATAATACATAGAGTGAAGTAATTGTGCAGTGCATGTGTATTTACAGTTGGTGTGCAAGCAGAATTGTATTGCACAAGTTAATAACAATAATTGAGTTTGTGTAATTATCAGGGGCAAACGCCAAAAGTCATAGAACATGTCCTGTCTAAAGCGCAATGCATAGCAGTTGTGGCGAAGTTTAAACGTTAGCCTCACTAGTATACTTGAATAACCAAAAATAAGTTTTCCAGATTCATGGAAGTTACCCGAAAGTGATGCACGCGATTCATATTGTACTCTCTTCCTCTTCTCGGCTCCAGACGGCTGTTGTCTTTTCCCAGGCATGAACCTGCAACTTGCATCTATTATAATTATATGCAGCTGGCAGCCTCAAGGATAGCCGCGTGCACGGAAAAATTACGTCACATGTTTGTTAATGCGTCCGTCCTAAAATAATTTTTTTAACGTATTTAACAACTTATTATCAATATATATTTGATGTAAACTCAGTTTATGTTGATATCAGTAAATAAATATAAAAAAAATTTGAGCAACCGAGATGGTGCCCCCCTCCGGAGTTGAGGCTCTACGCAGCCTGCGTACTCTGCGTGTAGGGAGCGACGATACCAATATATATATATATATATATATATATATATATATATATATATATATATATATACTTTTTATCCTGCAGCTTATTTCTCTAAAATGCTAGGGCCCTGAGTTTGGAGTGGTTTGAAGCTAAAAGATAAATCACACACAACAAACACTTTCACTGATCACTTTTTTCACTTGGAACTTGCAGTTTTTATTGAGCAACTCAGCAGTTTTTCATCATTATAATGGGTTTTGATATAAACATACATCAATATCTATTTTTAATCAAATAAATATATATTTTTTTGTTTCATGTTACTTCTGTGATCTTTTCATATTAGTCAAACATCGTACAGCATTAAACAGTGACATACCAATGATAAACTAATAACAAACTAAAAACACTCACCTCCTCTTTCTTCACCCATGTGGGACATGGACCACTGGTCCCTACCACTGATGACAAATTTTTTTTTTTTTATTATAGTTTTGAAACATTACATAAAATAAAAATACAATAATTCAGATATATATTATATCCATAAACATTACTATAGTTACAAGATCCAAAAATGATGAAGTAATATATAACAGGAAAAAAATGTAATAAAAAGTTTCAAAAGAAAAAAATTTTTTTTTTAATAAATAAAACGAAAAAAATACAAATATTACAAAATACTTCTATACATATAAACTAAAATAATAACTTAGGATACAATCATCGACTACAGCGGGGGATCAGAACTAGAAAAAAATTCCTTCATGAAAACTAACATTAAATCATTCTTTTTGTTTTTAATTTGCATTAGAGACTTTTTCAGATTTTCCATTTCTAATAAAAAAATATTACATTTTGGTACACATTTCGCAAATTTCTGTTTATGTATAAAATATTTACCTTGTAAAATGTAGAAGTTAACAACATACTCGAATGTTCTTTTTGTGTGTGAAAAAGTGCAAATCACATCTTTTAAAGATAGCCTGTAGTTAACATTTCTTTGCCCAAATAACACGTCACTAACATCATTCCAAAATTTACGAGAGGCATCACAGTTATAGAAAAGATGAGATAAGTCTTCCTCATGTATATTACAAAATGTGCAAGTACTCTCAATATCCATGAATTTAGATAAAGTTGCTTTGCAAGGATACATTTTGTGAAGTATTTTAAAGTGCACTTCTTTAACCTTATTTAAAAGGCAAAATTTAAAGGGTATTGACCAGGTAGCTTTCCAATTAATATTAATAATTTTTTCATTCCAATAATATTTCCCTCTAGGGGATATTTTGTGTTTAGATTGAAAGACTTGTTTATATTGTATATTATATGTTTTTTATATTGTATATTATATGTTTTTATTATATGATGGAGAAAGTATGTCAACACCGTCAATTTTTAATTCTGGGAGTATCTTTTTAACGCCTCCATAAGAAAGGTGATTATTAATTAGTTGTATTAAGCCAGCTGGAATAGCCTTAACCACTTGGTGAAATTCTTTAAAAGGAATTGGAAAGTTATGTATCCTCATAAAATCCTCATAAGATAGTATGTTTCCATTATCATAGAACAAATCTGTAACAAAATATATGTTTCTTTGATACCATTTATGTAAAAATAAAGATTTGTTTCTAGAGGTAATGAGATAATTATTCCATAAGAGAACTTTATGAGGAGAAAAGTTATGCTGAAAAAAAAATTTCCAAGCCAATAATACTTGCTGGTGAAATTTGGACAATTTAAGTGGCAATTTTCCAGGAAGATAATTGCATCTCAGGAGAACCACCGATGACGAATAAATAGAACGAATTCGATTGCCGTGACGTCACTGGACAGAATTCAGATTTTCCTCAGAGTGACAAACGAACGAGTACAGTGAACATTGATTTAACGACTTTAGCGACTTGTTTTGCATCTCAAATGGCAAATAACACGTCAGCTGCGTTTTTTAACCGAGTTAATACGATCACGACTGAGTTTGTCAACGAAAATCATCGAAGTGACACGATGGCTTCTCCTTCACCTTCTACCTTGATGAGAAGCCCAACAGGTGAGATGAGAGTTTACAAAAACAGTGTATTCCCACGTATTATTTAATAATACAGTAAATTATGAAGTTAAAAGTAAAATAATATTTATATATTGCCATGTAAGGTTATTAGTGTAGCAAATATGCAGCGTCTCTTCATTGTAATGTGTTTTAAAATTTAAATCCTTCGTGTAGACCTGCACAGTAATTTTCTTAGTTTTTGATGGTGTGGAGGAATATTTGTTATATTTTAGCAAACTGAGTGAGAATATTATATTTAAGTCTTTATTTGTTCAAGCAGGGAGGAATTAATACAATTGAGGTAAAGTTGGTTTTATATTCACACATTCTGACTTTCTCCTTAATAATAATATAACAGAAAATTATTTTTGCTAAATAGTTGCTTTTAGGTTTTTTCCTGATGTCTAATATGGTCTTATGACTTACCGACTATTTGTCAGCTTGTGTTTGTCATTTTTTACATCATAGAAATTATTTGCAATTCCACATAATTAATTTTAGTTTTAAAAAAATTTCTATTATAATTGTACATTTATTGTTGTTGTTTCTTTTGTGTGATTGTCTTTCATATTTCTCATTTACAACAGTGTGTTTATTTTAAACCTGTGATTAAAGAGTTTTCTAATATTTCCCTGTTCATTTCCTTTATTTCAGAAAACACAGAGAAAAGGAGGAAAGGGAATAAAGCCTCTGCTTTCTTTAAGAGAGCATGGAAGGCTGTGAAGCGCCCTTTCCTTTGCTGTGACCGGAACAGAGTGGTTCCCTTTGAACCACGGTCAGATGTCGATGATTTCCAGCATCTGCCTGTTCCAGGTCCCTCCAGGACCGTCGCAGCACATGCAGACCTTGAGCCGGTGTGGCAGCCAGGCCAGGTCTGTGAAGACCCTCAGCCGTTGAGTGTTCCGGGCCCCTTCAGCATCGAGCAAACAGCAGATGTGCCGAATGCAGATCCGGCCCGTCCAGAGTCCTCGACGGCCCTCACAGGTCATGTTGATACTGAGCTGGTGTGTCTGCCAGGCCAGGTCTGGGAAGATCCCCAGCCAATCAGTGTCCATGACCTCTCCAATATTAAGAACATGACGGATGCAGATTCGGCCTGTCCTGAGTCGCCTCCGTCTGTTCAAGACCCCTCTGATATTGATGGGACTGATGGTGAGTCATCCTGAATTTGGTTCATTTTATTTCTGCCGTCTGTTATTTTTTATGCTTTGTTGTTTTTAGCTTATAAATCAGACAGTGTCATTTGCTGTACTGTTGGTTGTGTACTAATTAATACAGTGCTAAACATATATGAGTGCACCCCCCACTAATCTCTCATTTAAATTCAGATTTTCTATAGGAGGCTTTATAATATTATATTTGTGCATGTACATTAGTTTAGTCAGAACTGAAGCCAAATCTGGAGCTTATCTAACAAAATAACTAAATAATGGTTCAAAAATGAGTAGCCCAAATGTATATGTTCAGGAAAAAATATTCAATTAAATTTTCTAAATTAGCAAAAATCAAAAAGAAACAAAAAATATTGACAATTTTGTTGAAATGTTGTAGTTTGTAAATTTTGCAATATTTTGCATGATATTAATTGTATTATCTTTCCATTTCTAAAGATGTTCTGTGACTAAATTATGATTTTAATAAATAAATCTGTTTGATAAATGTGTTTTGTTCAAATGCACCAATATATATTACCCAGATTCACTGAAAAATGGATAAAAACATTAATTTTCTAAATGGGGTGTACTGCATATATGAATATGCTGAGCGCTGTAGCTGCAGCTCTGTTCATGGAGATGTTTCTGTTTGTTTTCTTCATTTTAGAAAAACCCAAGAAAGGAAGGAAAGGCAAAAGAGTCTCTGCTTTCTTCAAGAGAGTATGGAAGGCTGCAACGCGCCCTTTCCTGTGCTGTGACACGGATGTAGTCCAGCATCTTACACCACAACCTGAGCCCGAGCCCGAGCCTGAACCTGAGCCTGAGCCTGAACCTGAACCTGAACCTGAACCTGAACCTGAACCTGAACCAGAGCCCGAGCCCGAGCCCGAGCCCGAGTCCGAGTCCGAGCCCGAGTCTGAGTCTGAGTCAGAGTCAGAGTCAGTTCTTGAGGAGCCTAATGAGGCTTCTGGGCTCACTCTTGGTAAGTGATCATTTCCTTCTATTATTATAAATTAGTAATCAGTTTACTCCTGCAATTCTGATGGAAGTTTCTGCTTTCAGCTCATTGCATTAGATCCAGATTTAAAGGATTTGAGTCATTTATTTGATCCGTTTCACACCAGACAATGCAAGTAAATCTCCCTGCTGTTTTTCTGTGTTTCAGGATCTAGGGTGGGTCTTTTTGAAGTGAAAGACCTGATTGGAGAAGGAAGTTATGGCAAGGTGTATCTGGGATCTCACGTATTTAATGAGAGAACAAAGGTAGAGAACTATTTTTCAAATTCAGTCAACATTTTCCTCCTGATTACTCAATATAAATCATTTGTGGGCTTTAATTTCATTTGTTGTTGTTTTTCCGCAGGTTGCCCTGAAGTACATCAAGAAGCGTAAACAGGACCGTTATCTCGACGTTGTAAGTTGAACAATTTACACAACAGTGAAAATGTGCTGACCATTTGCTCATCCTTCACTTGTCCCGTACCTGTCTGGACCACTTTAAACTGAACTCAAAAGCAGATATGTTGGAAACAGAGAGTCACTGACTTCCATTGTAGATAAAGAAAATACTTATGAAGTCACTGCTTACTGGTTTATCAACATTCTTCAAAATATCTTCTTTTGTGTTCAGCAGAAGAAATAAACCCAGAGACTAGTTTTGAACACATGAATGTAGGGCTGTGGAGTTAATTAATATTCATTTAACATTAATGCAGGTAAAAATGATCATTGCGTCATACACACAGACAGAACACACACATGTCGAGTCCTCTTTTAGCTTAAACTGCATGACTAAATGCTTAAATACCAGCAAACATGTGTCCAAACAGGAGCTTAGTGATTATTTACTTTGTGAAGTTTTTGTTTCTGTACTTTGTGCCATTCTGCTTTGGTAATATCTTTGAAATCTGTTTTTTTTTCTAGGATGGTCATTCCAAACCTGTGCTTGCAGAAGTGGCAATCATGCTTAAGTTGATGAAGGACCCACCTTGTCCCAGCATCATCACATTACACCACTGGATTAAGAATAAGAACGACTTCGTTCTCTTTCTGGAGTACGCCGAGTCATCCCAGATTTTGGCTTATTATCTCAGAAGTTCATTGGACATTGATGAAAACCACGCACGCCGGTTAATGTGTCAGTTGATCCAAGCTGTCAAGTTCTGCGCTGAGCGTGGAGTTTTCCATGGAGATATGCACTCGGGGAACATCCTGGTGACTCAACCCCGATCAGAGCTCAAACTGATTGACTTTGGTTGTGCTCGGCTAATTACCAGCGAGCCTTTCAACAGCAGTGATTATCGAGGTGAGTGGGCATTTTGTGGGAGTTTCTTTGGTCACAGTATTGTCTTATGAAATGACTGAATTCTGAAAATGTCTCTCTTACAGGAGCCTTACTTTACACACCGCCTGAGGTTCTGAGGGATCCCACATTCTTTCCTAACCCGGCATACGTCTGGACATTAGGCCTCATCCTGTATGAAATATTGCATACACGATTGGCCTTTTACGACACGCATTCGATAATCGTTGGAGACCTCCAGACAGACCTCACCTTATCTTTAGGTAAGCAGACTCTTCTGAACAATCGTTTGTTTCGTAATTTGATGTAGTGAGATTTAAACACGTTCATGAATCTTGAGTATGCAGACATATTTCACACTCTCTCTGTCACTTTTCAGATTGCCTGGACCTGATTTCCCAGTGTTTGGTCCGCAATCCAGAGAAGCGACTGCAGTTACATCAGTTAGAAGAGCACCGGTGGTTCAATCCAACGAGCCCAAATCCTGTGCAGCAGTGAGACAAGAGGAGGTAGAGGAACACACCGAGCACAAAACTACATCTTCAGTCTTTCTTTGCTTCATGCTATTCCTGTTCTTTCCTCTTCTGCTCTTTATAGAGTCACAAGTCTTATTTGACAGCCCTTCATATCACTGCTTAAATAACTTTGTGTTGTTTTTCTTCATTTTAGAAAACACTAAAGAAGCGAAGAGGAGAACAGCAGCATTTCCAGAAATTTCACAAGACTGTTAAAGTTATTAATTACTCCCTCATGTCATTCCAAACCCCTCAGATCTTACTTTTCAGTGTCAGTGTGTTGATGAGAGCTCTGTCCTGCACTGTGTGTGTGTCCACTGCTGACGTTTACCTCAGATGTGCCCACGCTTTGTTTAAATGAGAGGAAGTCGCGCAGGCATCTAGGTTATCCGTCAGCAGTACGACACACATCCAGTGCAGTACAGGACTTCTGAAGTCATTATTTTTATTTTAATATTTTTGTGTTTTTCTTTCTGCATTAAAGAAGTTTAATGCTCCAAACCCCTGACACCTTTCCTCATCTTCAGAAAACAAATGAAAACATTTGAGATGAAATCAAACCATGAGAGCTCTGTCCTGCACTGTGTGTGTGTCCACTGCTGACGTTTTCCTCAGATGTGCACACGCTTTGTTTAAATGAGAGGAAGTCGCGCAGGCCTCTGGGTTAAACGTCAGCAGTGCGACACACATACAGTGCACTGCGCTCTTCTGGACGTGCGGTTTGAGGGTCAGAGAGCTCTCAGATTTCATCTCGAATGTTTTAATTTGTGTTCTCAATATGAACTAAACATGAATTTGATCTAAGGACATGAGGTGAGCAATTAATGACAATAATGGTGAATAAATACTGCAGCTCTGCACAAGACCTTTGGCCACAGGAGAAATGGTCGTGCCCAACCAAGCCTGGTTTCTCTCGAGGTTTTTTCCTTCACTTTTGTCAATTAGTGAAGTTTTGTTCCTCGCCACTGTCGCCGCTGGCTTGCTTGGTTGGGACTTGTGGAGCTGCGCATCGATGGATTTGCTCTTCAGTGAACTGAACTTTAACTCCAGTGCTGTCACAGTTTTCTCCTCTAAAGTGTCATCAAAGATCTGCTCGACTATTTTCTCCCTCATTAATGAATCTGGTGTTCTGTCATAAGAGAGACTGATTGTTTTATAATGAAGTGTTCATGATTGTTTTGTAATGAATTGTTCTTTGAATTGTTTTGTGATGAACTGCTTTTATGTATTGTTGGCTAATAAGTCAAATAAAATCCTGTGAATCAAACTGAAGCTCTGATCATCATTTCTGTGAGTTTTCTAAATCACTCCTTACTCAATTAAAGAGAGAGTTCTCCCTCAACTATTTACTCACGTGCTTCTAAACCGATGAGGTTCTTTCCTCTGTTGAACACTGAAGAAGATACAAATCTGAAAATCTGTAACCATTGATGTCCACAGTAGGAAAACAAACACAATGGAAGTCAATAGTTACAGGTTTCCAGCATTTTTCAAAACATCTTCTTTTGTGTATAACAAGAAACTCATAGTAAGGGCTGAGTAAAAGATGACAGGATATTCATTATAGGGTGAAGGAATCTCTTTAACAAACCAGTAGTGCCATTTACTGTGTTTACTATGATTTACTATGAGTCTGTTTAGCCAATTGGAAGCACAGGGAAGGTTTTACTGTTAGACAATGTGTTGTTTTATATTACAGTATCATATACTAACACAACAAATAGTGTACTGGGCTGATCTTTTATTTAAAGAGCAGAGTTTCAGACTGGACATTGTTAAACTGTAGACTCAATTGACTAACAGTACACTGAGCAAAATAAAATCTCTAAAAACAGAAGTATAAATGTGTGCGATTGGACTCCAGTGTGCGATTGCAGCTTTTCTTTATCATGGTTAAAATGGTGAGTGAACATCACACAAGTGAACATTGTCAGATCTGTTGTTCATATATATTTGCCTTCTGGTACAGTCAACATTGCAGACAAACTTTAGAGACTCCAAATTGTTTAAACTTTGACAATCCCAGTTTAAAGAACAGTTTAGACTTGAGGGTTGGAATTGAGAACCACTGTATAAATACTTGTTAGATGCCTTAGGAGGCCCTTGTTGGGTTCAGTGGACAGTATTGTGTTTTTGTTAGTGCGAATATTTAAATTTTTTGTTTGTGTATTTTAAAAATCTAAAGCACATTCGTCGACAATAAACAACCTTTAATGAAATTAGAAGTTTCCAATGATGTTTAATAAGATTAAACAATATAATACTACACTGTGTAACACTAGAAAAAGAAAAGCTACAAAAAACAGTAAATAATTTGAATGTTTTATATGTTTATTCACTCTTTTTTTACTTCTTGCAACTGTTTATACCTGTGATTTTAATATACTTTCTCTCATTTCTATTTTATTTTTTCAAAAAGAGATGCAAGATGTACATATTTGTTCTACGTTTGTACATATTTCATTACTATTTCATAATCAATGGGGAAAATGTCCAGCCTGAGCACCCGTCTGAGAACTTGGTCCTAATTTTTGTCACTAGATCTACCCAGGTATTCTACTCTGCTGCAGGCCTGATATACTGAATATGCCTCACACATCGACACATTGTTTGTATCCTTTTACTGTTTATTCTTAAAGCGTGACAGAAGTAAATTCTTGCCTTGAGTAATATAACAGACATGCATTAAAAGCCACATCAGGGATTTATATAGGAAAAAATGCTTAACATGCACTTTTTGGCAAATCTGCTCCATCAGATTCAAGTCTTTACCAATTGATTTCTTTTTCTTTCAGTTACTGAACTCCTGAAATACAAAATATGGGTGATTTTTTTTTTATTTATTGAAAGAAATATTGAATTATATTCAGATAATTGTTAAATCCAATACATCTGAAAGACAAACAATGAATAGCAGAGGAACTCGCCCCCGAAAACTGAAAAGTTGTTGCTAGCAGGGATTCATTCAAGTACGGTCGTAAATTGACGAGAATAATTCAGATTATTAATTAAATTACCCATTGAATAGCGTTTTTTAATGCAAACCTCTACAAGCCCAAACCTACCGCTGACAGTAACGCAAAAATAGTAATTGTTAAACAGTATCACAAAAATGATGCGGTATTGATGTGCACATGCCTGAATCGAGTGTAAACAACACGTCGAACACAAGATGGTGCTGTATTCACAACACTTGTTTCATTTAATCAAATACATGACAAATTATTCGACTGAAAAATAATGAGGACCTCTTTTAATTCTCTTTAAGACTACTATTATATATATAAATACATATATATCATTTTTATATATTTTTTTATTTTATGCAAGAAGGAACATGAGCATTTACAGCAAATAAACAATGAGTTTATTTGCTTTATGAGCACTGTCGAGTTGTTACACCCCTATGAAAGGTCAACCACTCAACAGAAAGGGCTGTGATTGGCTCTAATGCTCTGGCTCCAGCAGAGTTTCTGTGTTTTTAAATATTAGGATGTTTTAATTACTCGCGCTCGCTTTAGTGCATATGAGATAAACGATGTCAGTTTGTAATAACCGGTTATCATGTATTACTGAACTGATATCGCATTGTCCACGTCTGCATCACGGTGCACCGAAGAAACAGTTAACTTTGACACCCCTACTAAATATGTACAGTCAAGCCCCAAATTATTCATATCTCTGACAAATTCTGACAAAGTTTTTGTTTGTAAATGTTAATAAAAGCTGATAAATATTTCTTCATCAAAATGATGTCTCTTGTACATCGTCTTATCTTTTGGGAGAAACTCGTGGGGTTCGATAGAGTGCGCGCGACGTGTCTGAAGAGCGAGAAGGGATCCGGGGGTGAGAAGAGTAGGCGACTTATTTGAGGACCAGGAGGGAGACGCGCGATGTTTGCGGGTAATATGAGTCCCACAAATGCATAGAGACTCCCGGAACTTCCAGGGGACTTGGGATGTCTGAATATCAGGTTTAACAGCTATAGTGAGACGCGATCCAGCGGTACATCCTTGATAAACTGTCTGACGTGCACTGCTCTCTGGAGCTCAAAGGAGCACATGACAGTGTGTGGCTGTGTGTGTGTGTGTGTGTGTGTGGCTGTGTATGTGTGTGTGTGGTCTCGTGATGTGCGTTTTCAGTGGACAGAGGGCTGTTCAGAAATGCTAGGTAAAACACGGTCTAGGTGTGGATGTGGATCAATTTCGTTCTAAAACGCCATTTTACCACTAAGACGTATTAATGTAAACGGGGCCTGAGTGTGTATTTTTCGCGAGCGGGTTTGCGACGGGGCGGGGCGGAGGATCGGCGATGCCGGCTCAGCATTGTGTTGTCTATTGGCCATCGGCGATGGACGATGGCATTGACTATCAGCCCAACTCTAACACACGTCACCATTTTTCTCAGCAAACATATTTCTAAAGGTGCCGTTGACGTGAAATTTTCATGAGATGTTGGTAACAACCAAAGAAATCCACATATGCAAAGAAAACATCTATTTTATATAAAGTAAACACCCATCAGATGATGAGCACTCTGAGCTTGTTAAGAAAGGGCCTGTTCCAATAAGATTTTCCTATGAAACGACTGCCAATTTACAAACTGCAATTACTCAATTCATATGAAAAACTGTTGTTAAATGTTTAAAGTTATAATTTACTCACAGATTTCTTAACTGAAGCTCCAGAGCGGGAGAAATTGTTCACTTTAAGTTTGACGATTGCTAATGGAAAGCTGAAGAATGTTGATTTAGTTTCAGTAGCCCCCCTGAATTATTAGAACTAACTAATTAATCAGAACTACCTGTTAACTAGGTAGGTTAGGGTAATTAGTAGGCCCACACGGAAACGGCGCGCACAGAATTCCACAGATTTCTGCAGATTTTCAGCCCATCATTTATTCTGTTTATTTACTTGAGTAAATGTGTAAATCTGAATTGACTCATTTTTTTCAGTAATTTATTATTTTTATTTCATATATTAAGGTTTTAGTTATGATACTCTGCTGGATACTCCCAAAATGATTCCGCAGAAATCCGCAGATTTTTACCAAAATTCAGAAATAGCAAAAAACGTCCGCAGATTCCGTCTGGCCCTGGTAATTAGGCAAGTTATTGTATAACGATGGTTTGTTCTGTAGACTAGCGAAAAAAATAGCTTAAAGGGGCTAATAATTTTGACCTTAAAATGTTTTTAAAAAATTTAAATCTGCTTTTATTCTAGCTGAAATAAAACAAATAAGACTTTCTCCAGAAGAAATAACTGATTTATTTATATATATATTAATAATATATATATTCACTGTATATATACAGGTGAAGTCAGGATTATTAGCCCCCCTTTGAATTTTTTTTCTTTTTTTTATTTTTCCCAAATGAGGTTTAACAGAGCAAAGAAATGTTCACAGTATGTCTGATAATATTTTTTCTTTTAGAGAAAGTCTTAATTGTTTTATTCAGGCTAGAATAAAAGCAGTTTTTTTTTTTTTTTAATTAATTTTAAGGTAAATTTTTTTTGATAGTCTACAGAACAAACCATCGTTATACAATAACTTGCCTAATTACACTAACCTGCCTAGTTAACCTAATTAACCTAGTTAAGCCTTTAAATGTCACTTTAAGCTGGATAGAAGTGTCTTGAACAATATTCAGTCAAATAATATTTACTGTCATCATGGCAAAGATCAAATAAATCAGTTATTAGAAATCAGTTATTAAAACTATTATGTTTAGAAATGTGTTGAAGAAATCTTTTCTATGGTAAAGAGAAATATATATATATATATCAGGGCCGCTGCTGGCCAAAAGGGTGCCCTATGCAAAATTTTACTGTGGTGCCCCCACAGAGGAATAAAATCACACAAAGATTTAAACGTAATTATTTATTTATGTACATAATTATGCATATAAAGACTCAAGTTATACTTAAACATTCACATATTTGCATAACCAAATAATAGTTTAGATCAAAAAAAAACTGACATGTCTTCTGCAGAAGCATTCCCAATTTCAAACATTTAGAAAAGATAAGGGATAAACCCTGTCTGTACCTGTAGAGATGGACGGTCCTCAGTGCTGCATCCTGTACTTGTACCTGTGCAGCTGCTGGTGTCTTTGGAGCAGTGCTGGTCAGGCCACCTCATCTTCTTTTGTGGCAAACTTCAGCAGGATTGACCTCCATGTACAATACAGACGAAATTAGTCATTTAAAGAAAAACTCATGACATACCATTAAAACAACGGGCTAGTCAAGCACTCTTCATAATGTTTACAAACTACAACCAAAATATTTCATTTACACTGTAATCTATGCTGACAATAGATGACCCTTGCTTTCGGTATAAATCAAAGACATTTGTGTTTTTCAAGAATTAATTGCTGTAATTTTAAACCAAAAAACTTTATAATATTCAGAAAAAATCATCATTAATGAATTCATGCAATAAAAATGGTTTCTGGCCAGTGATTTACCGTAATTTTACTCATTTTATATTATTGATCTTTCAGAAATCACAGAATATTACTCAGTTTTGTTATTTCAAACTGTAATGTACAAAAAAGACTAAAGAGACTTTATTGTCATCGCAATGATACAAGCAATAACAACAGCAACAATAAGAAATGTAAAGAAATAGATAAAACACTAAACAATAATAATTGCAGTCTGCAAAGAATGAAATAATATACAACATATATACAATATGCAATATATACATAATAATAACTATAATAATAAATAATACATAGAGTGAAGTAATTGTGCAGTGCATGTGTATTTACAGTTGGTGTGCAAGCAGAATTGTATTGCACAAGTTAATAACAATAATTGAGTTTGTGTAATTATCAGGGGCAAACGCCAAAAGTCATAGAACATGTCCTGTCTAAAGCACAATGCATAGCAGTTGTGGCGAAGTTTAAACGTTAGCCTCACTAGTATACTTGAATAACCAAAAATAAGTTTTCCAGATTCATGGAAGTTACCCGAAAGTGATGCACGCGATTGATATTGTACTCTCTTCCTCTTCTCGGCTCCAGACGGCTGTTGTCTTTTCCCGGGCATGAACCTGCAACTTGCATCTATTATAATTATATGCAGCTGGCAGCCGCAAGGATAGCCGCGTGCACGGAAAAATTACGTCACATGTTTGTTAATGCGTCCGTCCTAAAATAATTTTTTTAACGTATTTAACAACTTATTATCAATATATATTTGATGTAAACTCAGTTTATGCTGATATCAGTAAATAAATATAAAAAAAATTTGAGCAACCGAGATGGTGCCCCCCTCCGGAGTTGAGGCTCTACGCAGCCTGCGTACTCTGCGTGTAGGGAGCGACGGTACCAATATATATATATATATATATATATATATATATATATATATATACTTTTTTATCCTGCAGCTTATTTCTCTAAAATGCTAGGGCCCTGAGTCTGGAGTGGTTTGAAGCTAAAAGATAAATCACACACAACAAACACTTTCACTGGTCACTTTTTTCACTTGGAACTTGCAGTTTTTTATTGAGCAACTCAGCAGTTTTTCATCATTATAATGGGTTTTGATATAAACATACATCAATATCTATTTTTAATAAAATAAATATATATTTTTTTTGTTTCATGTTGCTTCTGTGATCTTTTCATATCAGTCAAACATCGTACAGCATTAAACAGTGACATACCAATGATAAACTAATAACAAATTAAAAACTCTCACCTCCTCTTTCTTCACCCATGTGGGACATGGACAATCTCCTCCAACCTGCAATAAAACAAGAAAATACAGATAAAATATAAAATTCTATTTAAAACAAAGTAAATAAATAAAAATGTAAATAAAATAAATCAAATAAAAAAAAGTAAATAAATAAAAGGAAAAAACGAAGTAAAAAGTACAACAAAACAAATGTTTAATGAAATAATCTGAAAACAACTGAAATAAAAACTGATTAAAGAAGTTGTGCTCTTTTATAATTAAGTTTAGTCTTCTCTCAGGAATTGACGAACAGCTTCAGGATTCGCACAGAAATGCTCTGCAAAAAATCGCCTCGTCTCTCAGACAACAGATTGCGATGGTTTGGGTTTTTATATGCAGACAGAACTTATATTATAACACGCTCAACGAACTTGACCGCCATCTTGGATCAACCCGCGGCCTGCCAGCCCAACCCCCCCTCTCCCCCACCACCGATGACGAATAAATAGAACGAATTTTATTGCCGTTACGTCACTGGACAGAATTCAGAAATTCCTCAGAGTGACAAACGAACGAGTACAGTGAACATTGATTTAACGACTTTAGCGACTTGTTTTGCATCTCAAATGGCAAATAACACGTCAGCTGCGTTTTTTAACCGAGTTAATACGATCACGACTGAGTTTGTCAACGAAAATCATCGAAGTGACACGATGGCTTCTCCTTCACCTTCTACCGTGATGAGAAGTCCAACAGGTGAGATGAGAGTTTACAAAAACGGTGTATTCCCGCGTATTATTTAATAATACAGTAAATTATGAAGTTAAAAGTAAAATAATATTAATATATCGCCATGTAAGGTTATTAGTGTAGCAAATATGCAACGTCTCTTCATTGTAATGTGTTTTTTGTGTGTGTAGTTATGGTTTTGTATATTTTTGTGATAGAGCCCTGCTCTTATATGTAATGACATTCTGGTTTTTAAGTTTCTCCTTTCCACTCAACAGAAATTGTGCCTTGTTAATGTTTCTGATAAAAATCATTTTAATTTTACTTTAATTTAAATCCTTCGTGTAGACCTGCACAGTCATTTTCTTAGTTTTTGATGGTGTGGAGGAATATTTGTTATATTTTAGCAAAATGAGTGAGAATATTATATTTAAGTCTTTATTTGTTCAAGCAGGGATGAATTAATACAATTGAGGTAAAGTTGGTTTTATATTCACACGTTCTGACTTTCTCCTTAATAATATAACAGTAAATCTTTTTGCTAAATAGTTGCTTTTAGGTTTTTTCCTGATGTCTAATATGGTCTTATGACTTACCGACTATTTGTCAGCTTGTGTTTGTCATTTTACATCATAGAAATGATTTGCTTTTCCACATAATTAATTTTAGTTTTCAAACATTTTCTATTATAGTTGTACATTTATTGTTGTTGTTTCTTTTGTGTGATTGTCTTTCATATTTCTCATTTACAACAGTGTGTTTATTTTAAACCTGTGATTAAAGAGTTTTCTAATATTTCCCTGTTCATTTCCTTTATTTCAGAAAACACAGAGAAAAGGAGGAAAGGGAATAAAGCCTCTGCTTTCTTTAAGAGAGCATGGAAGGCTGTGAAGCGCCCTTTCCTTTGCTGTGACCGGAACAGAGTGGTTCCCTTTGAACCACGGTCAGATGTCGACGATTTCCAGCATCTGCCTGTTCCAGGTCCCTCCAGGACCGTCGCAGCACATGCAGACCTTGAGCCGGTGTGGCAGCCAGGCCAGGTCTGTGAAGATCTTCAGCCGTTGAATGTTCCGGGCCCCTTCAGCATCGAGCAAACAGCAGATGTGCCGAATGCAGATCCGGCCCGTCCAGAGTCCTCGACGGCCCTCACAGGTCATGTTGATACTGAGCTGGTGTGTCTGCCAGGCCAGGTCTGGGAAGATCCCCAGCCAATCAGTGTCCATGACCTCTCCAATATTAAGAACATGACGGATGCAGATTCGGCCTGTCCTGAGTCGCCTCCGTCTGTTCAAGACCCCTCTGATATTGATGGGACTGATGGTGAGTCATCCTGAATGTGGTTCATTTTATTTCTGCCGTCTGTTATTTTTTATGCTTTGTTGTTTTTAGCTTATAAATCAGACAGTGTCATTTGCTGTACTGTTGGTTGTGTATTAATTAATACAGTGCTAAACATATATGAGTGCACCCCCCACAAATCTCTCATTTAAATTCAGATTTTCTATAGGAGGCTTTATAATATTATATTTGTGCATGTACATTAGTTTAGTCAGAACTGAAGCCAAATCTGGAGCTTATTTAACAAAATAACTAAATAATGGTTCAAAAATGAGTAGCCCAAATGTATATGTTCAGGGAAAATATTCAATTAAATTTTCTAAATTAGCAAAAATCAAAGAGAAACAAAAAATATTGACAATTTTGTTGAAATTTTGTAGTTTGTAAATTTTGCAATATTTTGCATATTAATTGTATTATCTTTCCATTTCTAAAGATGTTCTGTGACTAAATTATTATTTTAATAAATAAATCTGTTTGATAAATCTGTTTTGTTCAAATGCACCAATATATATTACCCAGATTCACTGAGAAATAGATAAAAACATTCCTTTTCTAAATGGGGTGTACTGCATATATGAATATGCTGAGCGCTGTAGCTGCAGCTCTGTTCATGGAGATGTTTCTGTTTGTTTTCTTCATTTTAGAAAAACCCAAGAAAGGAAGGAAAGGGAAAAGAGTCTCTGCTTTCTTCAAGAGAGTATGGAAGGCTGCAACGCGCCCTTTCCTGTGCTGTGACACGGATGTAGTCCAGCATCTTACACCACAACCTGAGCCAGAGCCAGAGCCAGAGCCAGAGCCAGAGCCAGAGCCTGAGCCTGAACCTCAACCTGAGCCTGAGCCTGAGCCTGAGCCTGAGCCAGAGCCCGAGCCAGAGCCAGAGCCCGAGCCCGAGTCCAAGTCCGAGTCTGAGCCCGAGTCTGAATCTGAGTCAGAGTCAGAGTCAGTTCTTGAGGAGCCTAAGGAGGCTTCTGGGCTCACTCTTGGTAAGGGATCATTTCCTTTTATTATTATAAATTAGTAATCAGTTTACTCCTGCAATTCTGATGGAAGTTTCTGCTTTCAGCTCATTGCATTAGATCCAGATTTAAAGGATTCGAGTCATTTATTTGATCCGTTTCACACCAGACAATGCAAGTAAATCTCCCTGCTGTTTTTCTGTGTTTCAGGATCTAGGGTGGGTCTTTTTGAAGTGAAAGACCTGATTGGAGAAGGAAGTTATGGCAAGGTGTATCTGGGATCTCACGTATTTAATGAGAGAACAAAGGTAGAGAACTATTTTTCAAATTCAGTCAACATTTTCCTCCTGATTACTCAATATAAATCATTTGTGGGCTTTAATTTCATTTGTTGTTGTTTTTCCGCAGGTTGCCCTGAAGTACATCAAGAAGCGTAAACAGGACCGTTATCTCGACGTTGTAAGTTGAACAATTTACACAACAGTGAAAATGTGCTGACCATTTGCTCATCCTTCACTTGTCCCGTACCTGTCTGGACCACTTTAAACTGAACTCAAAAGCAGATATGTTGGAAACAGAGAGTCACTGACTTCCATTGTAGAAAAAGAAAATACTTATGAAGTCACTGCTTACTGGTTTATCAACATTCTGCAAAATATCTTCTTTTGTGTTCAGCAGAAGAAATAAAGCCAGAGACTAGTTTTGAACACATGAATGTAGGGCTGTTGAGTTAATTAATATTCATTTAACATTAATGCAGATAAAAATGATCATTGCGTCATACACACAGACAGAACACACACATGTCGAGTCCTCTTTTAGCTTAAACTGCATGACTAAATGCTCAAATACCAGCAAACATGTGTCCAAACAGGAGCTTAGTGATTATTTACTTCGTGAAGTTTTTGTTTCTGTACTTTGTGCCATTCTGCTTTGGTAATATCTTTGAAATCTGTTTTTTTTTCTAGGATGGTCATTCCAAACCTGTGCTTGCAGAAGTGGCAATCATGCTTAAGTTGATGAAGGACCCACCTTGTCCCAGCATCATCACATTACACCACTGGATTAAGAATAAGAACGACTTCGTTCTCTTTCTGGAGTACGCCGAGTCATCCCAGATTTTGGCTTATTATCTCAGAAGTTCATTGGACATTGATGAAAACCACGCACGCCGGTTAATGTGTCAGTTGATCCAAGCTGTCAAGTTCTGCGCTGAGCGTGGAGTTTTCCATGGAGATATCCACTCGGGGAACATCCTGGTGACTCAACCCCGATCAGAGCTCAAACTGATTGACTTTGGTTGTGCTCGGCTAATTACCAGCGAGCCTTTCAACAGCAGTGATTATCGAGGTGAGTGGGCATTTTGTGGGAGTTTCTTTGGTCACAGTATTGTCTTATGAAATGACTGAATTCTGAAAATGTCTCTCTTACAGGAGCCTTACTTTACACACCGCCTGAGGTTCTGAGGGATCCCACATTCTTTCCTAACCCGGCATACGTCTGGACATTAGGCCTCATCCTGTATGAAATATTGCATACCCGATTGGCCTTTTACGACACGCATTCGATAATCGTTGGAGACCTCCAGACAGACCTCACCTTATCTTTAGGTAAGCAGACTCTTCTGAACAATCGTTTGTTTTGTAATTTGATGTGGTGAGATTTAAACACGTTCATGAATCTTGAGTATGCAGACATATTTCACACTCTCTCTGTCACTTTTCAGATTGCCTGGACCTGATTTCCCAGTGTTTGGTCCGCAATCCAGAGAAGCGACTGCAGTTACATCAGTTAGAAGAGCACCGGTGGTTCAATCCAACGAGCCCAAATCCTGTGCAGCAGTGAGACAAGAGGAGGTAGAGGAACACACCGAGCACAAAACTACATCTTCAGTCTTTCTTTGCTTCATGCTATTCCTGTTCTTTCCTCTTCTGCTCTTTTTAGAGTCACAAGTCTTATTTGACAGCCCTTCATATCACTGCTTAAATAACTTTGTGTTGTTTTTCTTCATTTTAGAAAACACTAAAGAAGCGAAGAGGAGAACAGCAGCATTTCCAGAAATTTCACAAGACTGTTAAAGTTATTAATTACTCCCTCATGTCATTCCAAACCCCTCAGACCTTACTTTTCAGTGTCAGTGTGTTGATGAGAGCTCTGTCCTGCACTGTGTGTGTGTCCACTGCTGACGTTTACCTCAGATATGCCCACGCTTTGTTTAAATGAGAGGAAGTCGCGCAGGCCTCTGGGTTATCCGTCAGCAGTGTGACACACATCCAGTGCAGTACAGGACTTCTGAAGTCATTATTTTTGTTTAAATATTTTTGTTTTTCTTTCTGCATTAAAGAAGTTTAATGCTCCAAACCCCTGACACCTTTCCTCATCTTCAGAAAACAAATGAAAACATTTAAGATGAAATCAAACCATGAGAGCTCTGTCCTGCACTGTGTGTGTGTCCTCTGCTGACGTTTACCTCAGATGTGCCCACGCTTTGTTTAAATGAGAGGAAGTCGCGCAGGCCTCTGGGTTAAACGTCAGCAGTGCGACACACATACAGTGCACTGCGCTCTTCTGGACGTGCGGTTTGAGGGTCAGAGAGCTCTCAGATTTCATCTCAAATGTTTTAATTTGTGTTCTCAATATGAACTAAACATGAATTTGATCTAAGGACATGAGCTGAGCAATTAATGACAATAATGGTGAATAAATACTGCAGCTCCGCACAAGACCTTTGGCCACAGGAGAAATGGTCGTGCCCAACCGAGCCTGGTTTCTCTCGAGGTTTTTTCCTTCACTTTTGTCAATTAGTGAAGTTTTGTTCCTCGCCACTGTCGCCGCTGGCTTGCTTGGTTGGGACTTGTGGAGCTGCGCATCGATGGATTTGCTCTTCAGTGAACTGAACTTTAACTCCAGTGCTGTCACAGTTTTCTCCTCTAAAGTGTCATCAAAGATCTGCTCGACTACCTCATTAATGAATCTGGTGTTCTGTCATAAGAGAGACTGATTGTTTTATAATTAGTGTTCATGATTGTTTTGTAATGAATTGTTCTTTGAATTGTTTTGTGATGAACTGCTTTTATGTATTGTTGGCTAATAAGTCAAATAAAATCCTGTGAATCAAACTGAAGCTCTGATCATCATTTCTGTGAGTTTTCTAAATGACTCCTTACTCAATTAAAGAGAGAGTTCTCCCTCAACTATTTACTCACGCGTTTCTAAACCGATGAGGTTCTTTCCTCTGTTGAACACTGAAGAAGATACAAATCTGAAAATCTGTAACCATTGATGTCCACAGTAGGAAAACAAATACAATGGAAGTCAATAGTTACAGGTTTCCAGCATTTTTCAAAACATCTTCTCTGTATAACAGAAGAAACTCATAGTAAGGGCTGAGTAAAAGATGACAGAATATTCATTATAGGGTGAAGGAATCTCTTTAACAAACCAGTAGTGCCATTTACTGTGTTTACTATGATTTACTATGAGTCTGTTTAGCCAAATGGAAGCACAGAGAAGGTTTTACTGTTAGACAATGTGTTGTTTTATATTACAGTATCATATACTAACACAACAAATAGTGTACTGGGCTAATATTTTATTTAAAGAGCAGAGTTTCAGACTGGACATTGTTAGATGCCTTAGGAGGCCCTTGTTGGGTTCAGTGAACAGTATTGTGTTTTTGTTAGTGTGAATATTTTAATATTTTGTTTGTGTATTTTAAAAATCTAAAGCACATTCGTCCACAATAAACAACCTTTAATGAAATTAGTAGTTTCCAATGATGTTTAATAAGATTAAACAATATAATACTACACTGTGTAACATTAGAAAACGAAAATCTACAAAACAATAAATAATTTGAATGTTTTATATGTTTATTTACACTTTTTTACTTCTTGCAACTGTTTATACCTGTGATTTTAATATACTTTCTCAAAATTTTATTTTTATTTTTTAAAAAGATATGCAAGATGTACATATTTGAACTACGTTTGTACATATTTCATTATTATTTCATAATCAATGGGGAAAATGTCCAGCCTGAGCACCCGCCTGTGAACTTGGTGCTAATTTTTGTCGCTAGATCTACCCCGGTATTCTACTCTGCTGCAGGCCTGATATACTGAATATGCCTCACACATCGACACATTGTTTGTATCCTTTCCTGTTCATCCTTAAAGCGTTACAGAAGGAAATACTTGACTTGAGTTATATAAAAAAACATGCATTAAAAGCCACATCAGGGATTTTACATAGGAAAAAATGCTTAACATGCACTTTTTGGCAAATCTGTTCCATAAGATTCAAGTCTTTTCCAATTGATTTCTTTTTTTTCAGTTATTTAACTCCTGAAATACAGTATATGGGTGGGTTTTTTTTATTTATTGAAAAATATATTGAATTATATTCAGAAAATTGTTCTATCTAAAACATCTGAAAGACAAACAATGAATAGCAGAGGAACTGTCCTCCGAAAACTGAAAAGTTGTTGCTAGAAGGGATGCAAGTACAGTCGTAAATTGACAAGAATAATTCAGATTATGTATTAAATTACCCAATATATGGCGATATTTAACGCAAACCTCTACCCAAGCCCAGACCTATCCATTACAGTAAGGCAAAAATAGTAATTGTTGAACAGTATCACAAAAATGATGCGGTATTGATGTGCGCATGCCTGAATCGAGTGTAAACAACACGTCGAACACAAGATGGTGCTGTATTCACAACACTTGTTTCATCTAATCAAAACTGAAAAATAATTAGGACTTCTTTTAATTCTCTTTAAGACTACTATTTTATATATATATATATATATATATATATATATATATATATATATATATATATATATATATATATATATATATATATATATATATATATTATGCTGTTATTATATATAAATAATTTTTTTAAATAATTTTTATTTTATGCATGAAGGAACATTACAAAGATACATTATAAACACAAGGAGACAGAAAGGGATACTTAAATAAAAATTTAGCTAATTAAACAAGTTTAAATTATTTACACTAAGAAAGAGTTTGATATTTAATATAATTGTTAGAGTCTTTTAAAGAGTTCACCTATAAATCAAAGTCTTTTCTGAAAATAAAAAGTAAGGGTGAAAAAAAAAGTAACACACACACACACACACACACACACACACACACACACACACACACACACACACACACACACACACACACACACACAGACACACACACACACACACACACACACGCACACACACTAAATATAGTACATAGATATATAGACCATTTCAATGTGGTCATGTCATTGGCCCATGAACATTTCCTGCTGTTATCAAACAATTTCAGAACTTTAACAAGAGGTAATGTAGTCATAACTTCAGGTTAAAACAGCTATCATAACATTATTTATTAATATGTGACTCTATTTATATTCTCGGAAGCTATAGAAATAAAAACTGTAAAACAGGAAGTTGGTTGGCACCTTTGTTATTGTTTACATCCCTTAAAATGGTCTAAATACTGTAAGTCTTATAATCGACCAAAAGATAAAAAAATAAACTTGTTTAAATGTAAATTACATATGTTACATTAAGACTTTAGACATCAAACATTCATAAATTAAAAAGAAATGTATAAAATTATATTTAACTAACTTAGAGAAGTGCCTTTTTTTAATTGAATGCTTGAATAACATTTACAACAAATGTCATCAATCAATCAAACAACAACAATCCAGTGGTTTTTAGTCATTTATTCCAAAAAAAGTCCTTCATTAAAGTCCTTGTTCAAATTGCTTTTAAGTTTGTAGATCTCTCAATGGACTCAAAATACATTTTCATTTCCATTTTAAATTTAGAAAAAAAAAACTTTACACTTACAAAACTTGCTTTTGTGATTATGAAATTTGGCCAACAAAACAATAAGGTTTATGAAATAAGTATATTATATTCCTTTTCACATTCATAGAGACCAAAGACAACATTTTTTTTTTTCCATTCAACGGTGAGGTTAACTTTTTTTTATTAATTCAATGCCACAAGAACAAGAGGTATTACATTTCACATAGTTTCTAAAAGAGAAAATATATTAAAAAAAATAAAAATAAAGTAAAATTATTGCACAGTAATTAATCGGACACAGGAAATATTGACTCCTTAATGTGACTCCTTAATGTGACATCAAATTTTATGTATTTATTTTACTTGTTGTTTTTTGCTCTTATTGTAAACTTGCTTATTTATTATTTTTTAATTAATTTCTTTTAATTGTTATTTTATTTTTAATGTATTATTATTATTATTATTATTTTCTTTTTTTCTTTCAGGGGATATGTTTGTTTATAACGCATACATTTTATTTATTTAATATTTTGAGAGGATGGTGGGAAAATAAGAAAAATAAAACAATCTGTTTTTTTGTATGTTGAATTGTATACTATGATGTATTGTCTTGTTAAACATAAAAATAAAATAAAATAAAAATTGAGTAAAATTACATTCACATTAAATTCAATGTTTTTAGAGCAGTTCATGTTTTCAGTGTTTTTGTTTGTTTGTTTGTTTTTTTGTTTGTTTTTTGATTGTTGTAAAAGATCTACATATCCCTTGAAGTCATTCACAAAATGGGTAAAGTTTTGTTTACATCGAGCCCACTTTTCCATATGTACATGGTTTTAAACCAAAGATAACATACATTCTGAAATGAAGTGCCAGTAGATCTGCGTCTGTTGTTGTGTGCGTGCATGCGTGCGCGCTCTCGTAGGGTGGAGTTTAACACACCGCCTCAAAGCAACGGTGCAGAAATCACTTCTGACATTACATACCAGCATTTACTCAACAGGAACTTTCTGCTGGGGGACA